AGGGGTTGTCTGCGTGAGAAAGCATTGATATAACTAAACATGACCAACCACTTTCTGAGTCTCGTAGATCAGGAATTCAACTCAAGGGTTGTCGCGACTAGTTTTCGATAGGATACCGGTTTTTACAGCGCATTCGCACCTGCGAGCATCTGCTGTCTAAAAAATATTATATTCAATGAAATGAGAAAATATATTATCGCCGTTTGCACCGGGAGGATAAAGGGCGGATGTATTTTTTTGTTTTAAAAAATTTACCGTCCAGTTAGATTTTCCCACGGAATTCGGAGTCAGTGATAAGATATCGAGATGAAATTGCTGATGAATTGCGAAAATTTCTGCGCATTGATTCTCCATTGAGTGAATCTCTGGGAATTGATTAGTGTAAGTGTAATTTAGAGGGGGATTGCGGTTAATTTGGTGTGCGTGTACAGTGATGGGAGGCAGTATAGATGTGCGTAAATGGCAGGCCAGCAGGACGGATGTCGTCAAGGACATTTGCAAAAATCGACGCTCTTTAACACCACGGTATTAGGTATAGTGCAGTGACACTAGTTCAACCACAAAGACATTATTATAATTCCCGACTGTTTTGTTCTATTATCTTCGGGGTGATTCACTTAGGTGCTTGTAATTTATGAGTACGTGGAATAAAACTTTTCCATTTCTATTTTTATCGCTTGTGCAAAGAATGTCTAGCGAAATGTGAGGCCACGAGCTGTGGCCACAGTGTGTGGGATTCGTCATATATAATGTGTACTCTGCCAGCCCAGAGTATCTTATCGTTTCTTTCTATGTGTACAACGAGAGTGAATTGGCGTTGTGTGCGGTTGATGCACTTGACGAGAAGTGAGAATAAAAATATAAGCTTATCGTATTAGTTCATTGTTTAAATACGAATAGAATGTTATACCCTCGGTTTTATATGAGGCGAGTTCTTGGAATTAATAAATTGATTGACTTGTTACTTGCTTTTTTTATTTCCGGTTTTTGCAATCTTTTTCCTTGTGTTTTATGGTAAGAATAACAAAAAATTCTTGGGAGAGTGATTGTTTGTTAACTTTTTCACTTGTCACGAGACAATTTTCGAGAGTTTTGAAGAATCGATAATATTTTTCATTTTTTACACTCATCACCTAATCATGCACAAAAAACCCAACACTTAAGATCAATTTTATATACACTCGAATTGATAATGAAAGTGTTTATCGCGCAATCGAGACAAGAATTTCTCATGTGGAGAGGATGAGTAATCAGATCGGGAAAGTATAAATTCGCACGATCAATCGAATTGTCAACCCAACGCAATTACCATGAATTTACAACTTATTTATTATTTCCAAATAATAAATTGCATTGAAATAAAATTCATTCAAAATAATAAATATGATTTGTGGATTTATTAAATAATACTGGATGTATTTATAAAATAAAAAAATGATAAACTTGGGATCGATTACAATTCTTCCATGGGAGAGGAAAAAAAAATTCCGATTCCCGATATGAGCATGAAAAGTCCCTCGATTGTGAGTACTAGAACTGCATGAGCCATGAAGGGTATTTGGGCGGCTCGATTTACCTCACCAAAGGAGTCAATGGCAGAGATTCATCGCGGGGTCGAAAGTCGATAAGTGGAGAATGTGAAAAGGGAAGAGAGGGTGTTCTTTCTCCCACTCTCGCAATGCCAAGAGGTTTTTGAGCACTGGAGAGTCATCGAACGAGCGATTCGCACGATTCGATCGGTCCTCAAGGGCTTGTTGCATCCATCCAATGAATCAAGATGGATTTATTGATTACCCCTTTGTTTCAGCTGATTTTTTTTTTCCACAGATACCTCTCCACAGTCAAGTTCAACAGAATTCCTCTAATTGCTGAATCGAAATGGTCGATAGTAATTAGTTTTGCTGGAGTAGTGTTCCGACAATATTTTGGTCAATTGGGATGAACGGGAGTTCACTAATGACCTGCAAGGTTATTAATTGGCTCAGTGACTTGGCCCTGTTGAATCTCAAAGGCTTAGCCCCTTTTGCCACCCTTTCCACTTTCGCATAACGGTACATCTTCCTCTTCAGGATGCAAGAAGTCATTCTGCTTCTTTGATTCACTCCTTCCGCAGTTCTTTATCTTCTTCATCTTTTAAAACTTATGCATTCAATATTTATCGGATGAAATATCTTACAAAGAACTCAATACCTTTGATGAAAGATAGATAATAGGCAGTGTGGGGACAAGAGATGAATCTATTTTATCATCCTGGGTAAAAAAAAATTGTAATCGGAATATTTTTTCGAAATTTTCCAAAAATTTCTGGAAAACTTTTCAGAAAATTTTTTTTTTTAAACAAAAAAAAACCAAAAACAAAAAAAATGGAATAAGAAAAGGTCGAAAAAAAAACCTCAAAAACCTTCCCAAAAAAAAAAATGGTTTAAGCCCCAAATTTTTTTTTTCATAAAAAAAAATTTCTGCAAAGTTGTCCAGGAATTTTTTGGAAAATTTGGAAAAAATATTCCGATTACAATTTTTTTTTTACCCGGGATATTACTCTAATAGTTTTATTAATTGGAAATTTTTATGAATTCTCGGCGGGAGATATTTTTTCGTGTGGATCATGTCAGGTATCCAATAAACTGACGACGTAGCAGGCAATAAGTGAGGGATTACAGTGACGACGTGCAAATTGAAATTCATAAAAAAGTTTATGAAACATTTAGACGGGGTAATTAGGTCACAGAGGACAAATCTATGAATAAGATTCTCATCCTTATTGATTTTCACCCGATGCAATTGGATTTGAAAAAATCAGGCAGACATCAGACTTCTTCATAAACTCATGTTATATAAGTGCATTATTATTCCCGTTGTAATTTGATATTTCATGAAGCAGTAATTCCGAATTTATTATTTAAATGATCGAGGGTAATAGAATTTATTTGAGTTTATTCAAATGTCTTGGGGTCTCCTTATTTTCTGTTCAGACATGACACATGAATCATTGGATGATTGGATATTTCGAGTGATAGAAAAAATTTCATCGATAAGATTTCCGATATTATATTAGTGTGATGCGGAGTGGAATATTGAGATCGTTCGCGTTTGTTGAAGGAGAAAAATCCAATAGTGAACTGATGTAGGTAATGAGTTAATCAATTCTTGGTAATCTACGGTGTGTGCACTGACACATTACACGTCGGAGGGAAAGAATTATCTCTATTTCTGTATTGAAATCATCGGATAATCTAGTATGCAAAGTTGAATTTTGACAAACCCGAGTAACATCCGGTGACATCCGTGAAACCTCAGCGATGTTATCTCATAATGATCCGTGGATTTCTATTTTTTGTACAAAAGTACTGTATAATTGAAGCACGAAATTTGCGATGACAGGTTGTGCATGTTCCACATTCACATCATATTCTCCCTCGTAATTCGCTTTTATTGTTTCATTTTTACTTGATACGGTTTTTATCCTCTTTTTTATGCAATATTTTGTGGGGCATTGAACGGAGATTATATCGATGGTCAGCCGTTCATCATTTATAATCCATTTGGTAATTTAAAATGGAGAATAAAAATTCGATTTAAAAAAAATTGATAAACTGAAAAAAAGCTGGATTAAAATCACTCCTCATAATTCTCTATTGTTCGAGAGAATTCTACAGCCAGTGAATATTAAATGGAGAGATTATCCACAACGTCCAATTTTGATATTTATCTCCCTTAAAAAAACATTGAAAATTATGAGTATTTCAGGCTTTTCAATTCCATAATTGAAGTACACAATTTTACATACCTATCAGAATAATCGAAAAAATAATTCCCTCGGTTATCAGTCCCTGACAACACAGTCCATAATACCCGAATGTCATAAAATAGAAAGTGCAGAGATTCGACCAGAATCCTCCAGGACCATTAGCGAATGCAACAATCTACATAAATCCTGACAAGAGTCTCGTCATTGCCCATATCAGACCATGCCCCCTCCAAAAAAAAAATCCCTCTCTAACTGTACATAACTTGGGCTATGGTAAAGCTAAATACCATGAAGGTGTGCGGGCGGTTCGTCTCCCTCAAAGCGCCCATCTCAAAACCAATGGAACCATCCCGTACTCTAGAAAAAGAAGAGAAAAAAAAATTGTAGGAAGGGGCACACCGTATGCGAGTGAGAAAAACTGGAGGATAGAGTTTGGGGGACAGGGGGGTAAAGCACACCGAAAACGTATACACACACACACGCCAAAAAAATAGCCGACACAGTGACAGTGAGAAGGAGTCGGCGGGGTTGAGTTTAGTGGGGGGGATAAAAAGGCTGAGGAGCGGTGAAGTGAGGGGGGATGAAAGGGGACAGGAGGGATGGAGGAGGTATGTGTATGTAGTCAGGGAGAGCGAAAAAGTGTAGTGGGGATTGAAGAATTGGCGAGGACCAGAGGGGTTCTGAGCACGGACCATGTTACTACTTGAATTTTGTTGGCTAACCAGTAGTGGGGATAACCTCCCCTCCAGCCCCGTGCCTAGTCCTCCCTCCTTTTTTGATTCGACTAAACCGTTTCTCTCTCTTCCCCTCTCCCTTCTCCCTCCACCCTCATTTCCCCCCACGAAAATTTCTCTCTTTTTAACTCTTCACCCTGCACCCCTCAAACAGTTTTATCGCGCTCTCCTTGTTACTCACCCGTCGCTGGTTCCTATGAATTTTGCGACACTCAATAAAAAGTGGTTCCACGAGGTTAACATTTCGGTAACTATACCTCGCCTACCCGGCGCACACAGCCCATCGCACACGCACTCCTCTCTCTGCTCTTTATTTTTTCGTTTTTTTAATTTTTTTTTTTTTTTCGGTTACCAACACAAGTTTATAATACATGCACATAAGTAACACAAATATATAATACGCATACAGTGTGGCCCCGAAAAAAAAGAGAGAAGCATACATACGGGAAAAAAAAGGGAAGAAAGAAAGAAGTGCATGGGAGAGGCGCAGCAAACCGAACCGCGCGCGAATCAAGTGCTTTGGCCAGTCGCGTTCCCAATCACTCTACGACTAGGTAGTCCTCCCTGGTGTCCGAAAAGGCTCCTGGTGACTTCTGCCTGGTACCTCGCACCAGGTACTATTCTAACATCGTCCCCCTAACAAGTGATCAATCAAATCTAATTCACCGCCGCTTTGACCATTAATAAGCCCCGATATTTGTGTGATTTTTTTTCAAACTCGGCTGATCATTTGCATCATACCATCAAATAATTGTATCAACATTTGTCGAGTTTTAGTCTCTTTGAAAATTTGGTGTGTGACGGCTGGTGTTGTAGTCCCTAGAGTCAGTGGGTGAACATTACCAGGACAAGATAATAAATTCTCAATTGTCAATAAATAAATAGAGATTGACACGATTGCTCCTCGTTTATTATTCATTTTTATTTCATTATATTTCTTTTTCGATAATTCGTGCCAAGTGTTTCTGAGGTGCTTCCCGATTGATATTTAAGGATATTCGATCTGCTGGCACGTGAAACTCTCATTGCCATGGACGCAGAAGGCACGAGTGTTAAAAATAATTTTATAACGATAATATAGATGTAAATAACCAAAAAAAGGGAAAAAACAAGTGATTCGAAAAATTCATCAGTGAAGAAGGAAGAGATAAGAGTCATACGTTGGTCATTTAATCGTCCAAGTATTAATCAGAGGGAACGAGCAAGGACATCGTAGGAAGGCCCCCACGAGACATCACTTTGCCCCTGGATATTTCAAGGTACGTCTCGCAGCTGTGTTACGTGGGTCCACCAGATGATGGCCTTCAAGTCATTTCGCTGTCCCATCGCCAGTGGGACAAGTCCCATTTTTTCAAAATATCCCCTCACCCATATTCACCCATATCCACTTACATATTTCAATTGCGTGTGCACACAACCGTTGCACATGCAGTCCAAGAGTTCCCGCGCTTTGAAGACATTCGAACATTCACATATGCGCAATGGCTCTGCGTTTTGTTGGTCCATGAACTCCACGGGGATATAGCCTTGCAGAAAAGAGCCATTTAGAGAGGAAAAAAAAAGACCCCAGTTCTTTCTCTCCGGATGTCTGTACCCCGGTCCTGTAGTTTGTACTCGTATGGCCTTCTCTATTCGGTCTGTTGCGCGTTCGTGTGAAAACGTGATTATTTGTGTTAGTAGTGTGTACGGGTTTATATGGGAGACTGGCTAGACGATCGCTAGACGAGGATAATACCAGCACCCAGTGTAGGCATAACATTGAACTCACCAGGTGATGACGTAATCCCGGAATTTTTAATTCAAATGATACCCCCAGGTATTGCGGCTCCTTTGTCGTCAGTCTATTCAAGTGTTCCTCATGGTCAGTCTACCCAGCCTTTTTCGGGGATATGCCGATGTATATTTACGTAATCTACTTGGAATTTACGATTTTTCTCCTTTCCATTTTGCACGCTAGACTGGAGATTTTATTTTTATTTTGCTTTTGCGAGAGTCTGATGCTCAGTCGTAGGTCACGATTGAAATTTTTCGGTGACAAAGGGGATTATAAAAAAAAAATGTAAACAGAGAGAGTGGGATTTATCTTTAAATCGGATAGAGACCCTGAGATCGAGAGTCTACTATCGCTTTTACTGTCGTAGACTCAAGCGCTTGTGCAAATAAACCCGAGCGATTATCTGACTGCAATCGAGGTCCCTCTTTCTCTTCGCTCTTTTTTTTTTCCTTGTTCCTTTTTTTTTGGATCTAGTCATCGGTTCATTTCACCTACCGAGTAAAGCACGCGCTCACACCTCGAATACTGCAATGAGAAAATCTCTCATGGAGAGAAAAAAAAATAAAAGGAAACAGGAGAAAGAAATAAACGGAAAGGAGTATAAATAGAGATTTGTGCCAGGCGAATTTATGCGTGGTGGATATAAAAATAGAATTTATTAGTTCTCTTCTTTTCCTCGATGACTGGAAGAGGTGATGCTCTGTTGTATGTCTTTATTCTGTTAATATATCGGCAAAGAGGTGGGATAAAATGTCTGGCGAACATGTCCTTGAACAATATTTTGAAATTACATGGTGATCGTTAGAATTACGAAACGCAGTGGAGGTTTTTCGAGGCTGTGCGAAATGTTGATTTAGCCTGTTGCTGGGTGAAACTCCATTTCACCTGGTGTTATTTGCAATTTCATATATTTTTTGTGTCACTCGAAAAATGAATTAACGTGTGACTGCCGATCTATATTGACACTTTGCTTTTACGTAATTCTGTCGTTCCAAGTGGTGTGGAAAAATAATCCTACTCCATTGCAATTTGATATAGATAAAAAAAATGATATTCTTTCGCCGACGTTTATTCAAGTTTGGTGGAATCACATAGGTGATTTAGTGGTGTGGATTGAGGATTTTGGGGCACATGACGTATGAGTCGAATGAATAAGAAAGCTGACGAAATATTCTAAATAAGGAATGGATGGGTCGCATGAATTAATACGAAAATTCATCCGATTTATTGTTTTTGGACAGAAATCGATGATCGATCGCTTCTATGTAATAGAGAGAAACGATTATCTTAGTGTTCTCTGGTCATTTCAAATGTGAGGAATGAAAAAAAGAAAAGGAACGATGTAATGAAATATATGAAATACGAATCGTTGATTAGATTAGAACGCCTTAGTAACTAGATTACGCTTTACCGAGTGTTATCTCTTGAAATTAGATTCCCAACCCGGTGAATATGTATTTAAAACCCCGGGACATACATAGCACACTGCGAATAATTCAATTGACATTTGCTGGTTCAAAATCCAGTCTGCTTCCCGTTTAGTTGCCTTTCGCAATAAAACGATAAATAAAAACAATACAAGTTAAACGCGAATTCGGTGGAATAAAATCTGATGAAAATTGGCCTTGGCAATCGCATCGGTCAGATCGATTTATCAATCAAGTAAATTAACTGGCACGCGAAAATGTCAAATAATAAATATAAAAAAATACGAACGAAGAGTTAAAAGGGGAGGAAAGAAGACGATTGCAAATTTATTTATTTTCACTTTAGGGAATTACGGAAAATGTTGCGGTTGAATTGGGCAATTTCAGACACTTCCGAATTCCCCGGAAGACAGGCATAACCCAAGCATCAGAAAAGACTTACTGTACGCCATGGGGTCAAGGCGCTGAGGAAAGAGGACTGGGGGAAAAAAGGGGAAGGGGAAAAAAAAGGGGTGGGAGGGGGCTCAGGGGGGGATGAAAGGGTGAGGCGAGACATACGGGCGACCTGTGGTAGTTGTGTTTGGATTCCAATCTTCCCCCTCTTCACAGACCGACGCATATATTTTTTTTCCTTCACCTCTCAATCAATTTAATTGTTCACGTTATACTTCTTATCTCACTCATACGAGCATAAAAAATAATTTTTTTTTTCCCCATTGAAATGAAAATGAAAAAGTTGAGTTTTCTTTGTTCAAAGTTTTACGACTCTTTTTTACTCGTGAAAAACTTGAACATTTATTTAACTCCCTGATCGCTCTATAACGGCTGCTCTGAGTTTCTTTTTAATTATGAAGGCACCCAGCGATTGAAAAAAAAAAATGGGAGAATGAATGGGGAATTAATTCTTATAATTGCGTTTTAGTCGGTTTGTTTACAGAGACTAGCGTATGGTTAATTTCAATCGTTCTTTGTTCCTTCGAGACGTGGCCAGACACGTTAGTGATCGTATATCTATCCGCAGTGGAAAAAAAAAAGCCCAACACGAACCCACCGAAAAAATAACACTCGCTGAGAGACTGAAGCCCGACATGAATTTGCGATTCGCATGGAGGAGAAAAAAAAAAGGGAGATAAATGCATATAGCCCCATGTACTTGAGCCAGTCCCCCATGACGCAACCAAAACCGACGCCCATGTCTCGCACCCTATCTCTCTCTTTTTCGTTTGCACATTGCAGTTCCAATTAAAAATACAACTCTGGGCTGACCTATTTTCATTATTCTTAAATTTAGAACGCTGAATACTAAACTCCAAATGTATATTTCCATCGGAAAAGGATAATTGATTCCAATGTCTCTCACGAATGTCGGTCAGGTTGAAATTAATCGAGAGTACCTAAAATTTCCATGAATCTAATGGTTGACATCGTTTTAATTGATTAAACAATTGTAGAAATTTTTATTCCCTCGGGTTGAATCAGTCCCGAATTCAGTCTTAGAGAAATTATGAATGTAGGTACCCAAAAGAAATAAAACCCACCGCCAAGTGAAAGGTTCCCCGACGCGTCTGACTACACGCGGTTTTATCTACTTGTGTTTTCCCGCTCGGAAAATCGTTCGCTCCTCACACCGCGCCCTACACTGACCAGTAAAAATTCCCGCCCCTTTTTCCCTCATTCGCGATAAACTCCAAGTAGTAAAAACATTCTGACACAACGCGAGACGGAAGAAATCAGCAGCGACTCGCGAAAAAAAAGTTGATTCCATTGATTTTCACGACTCCATCGAACTTTTCACCGATTATTCGTGAAATGAGATGACGTATACTTTTTATTCATGGCAAATAAAATTCTTCGTGGTGATAATACTCATTATATCAGTCGGAGAGAACAGTTTCAAGCGAAACTCATGGATATTTTTTAATAGCACATGGTTTAATGCACTTTGTACTGGCGGAGAATAGTTGGTTGTTGTTGGGGTGTTTGGTGGGTTTAGAAGAGAACCCGGGGGCCGTGAACGGTATGGGTTGAATGACCGCCAAATGTTTTCGAATGCCTAGCAGAAAAGAAGGGGGCGCGTGTGGGAGAAAAATGGAAGGGAATGAGTGAGAGGGATTTTTTGGGTGGGCGGGTGGAGGAGGGAAGTGAAGGAGGCTATAGCTAATGTGTGTGTATGTGAATTGGCATGAGGGGCCACTGGCATCGGTGCAACGTCAGTCGCATAGTCGCTTACTTCACTTCCCCTCCATTTACTAAAAAAAACCCTCACTCCTCATCGTATTCACATCGCTAACACGCCTTCTTCCTTTCCCAAATCGTGTGCGAGCCTCTATCCCACCAAAATTGCGTGTGCAGAGTGCATTTTCGGCTTCTCTCTTTTTTTTTCCCCTCTCCCTTGGATTCCGAATTGAGGCATTGTAATCGCTCGATTTTAAGTGACCAATTTTTTCGAGTTTAGACGGTTAACTTTGGGTTTGAACTTACCATTTTTACCGATCTGTTTCTATTCATCATTATTTTTTTATTAATAATTTGTCGCATAAATTCGTTGCCGAGGACGGATGAATCTGTGGAGTCGTTGGGCAGGTGTGCTGGGCTAATGAGCCTTGGGGTTCACCACAGGGAGAAAAAATGAGATTAAAAATTTATTCACTCACCGCTTGATACCCGGTACCGAGCGAAAAACACGGAAATTTTTGAATTTTTCCGCTCGTTAATATTACTTCGCCGCTGATGGCATCCTCCAGGGGATTAATGAAGCTTTATTATTTCCCTTTTGGTGATGGGATAAATGAGAAATGAGTGATTGATGATTCCGGACCATCAACACGCATTTCAGTTTTCGTATTTTAACCATTTTTTATTGAACGTTCGCATCACCAGGATAAATCTCTCGGGATGGGATGGGGAGAAGTAATTCAAATTCAAGGTGGAAAAGGTGTCCTTGATTCAGACTGACAATGCTTTTTTTTTTTTTTTAAAAAAAAGGGGAGAAAAATTGAAACATAACGCGCCCTTCGGAGGCTCTTTATTCGCCTCTGTACAGCGTGAATGAATCCCGTAACGTTCGTATACAGGTGCGAGTGATTCACAACGCGCAGCCAGAAAATCCTCGACACAGTTCCTCTGCTGGGTGGTGGTTAGCCTTGAACTCGGAGGTGCGACGCCCGCTACTGCTCCACATCAACCGTCCTCTAGTTTAAATACACCTCTCATCTCTATCCACCCCTAGACATCCCTCAACCCCCGCAATTAATCCCGCGAAAAAAAAGCCGCTAATCAGCGCAATCCACTCATTAAAATATGATACAAATAAATTTCCTGGGAGTAAGATTTACGCGGACTTCATGCGTAAGACTTGATACAACGAAAAATGAAATTTGACGGTTAAATTTTTTGAGACAAGTCCCATCGTCGTCTCCCATGTGCAATATTCTCATTACATATGATCCCAAGGACAAGTCACGCGCGCTGTTGACTCACCGGACGTCTCCGCGACGACATAGAGAACATTCTAATTGAATGCATTCAACAAAGACCACTTCTTCATGAACTGGTAAACACCAACGACCAAGGTCACGATTTCTTTATTTCACGGTCAAGGTTTTCACCGTCCGAAAACCGTGACTGAGGAAAAATCGATGGAAATGGCCGAGTGGAATTTCGTGTTAAAAAAAAAAAATCCGCACCTCCACCCGATACCCCATTGAAGAGTTCTTTCCCGTCCGACGTGTGTGGGTGACAAGAATAAAGTTGAAGAGAAAAAAAAAAATTGCCGAAATACGAGTACGTGTATTTCACCTCGCTTTCCATAAGCCCAATCAATAAATATTACAATGGAAGATGAAACGAAGTAGGAGGGAAAGTTATAAACGGATGGTGAAAACGAAGAAGGATGTATCCGCCTGAGACCCTCTCTCACTCGTCATCCCTCCCTTTCCCTCATCATCTTCCTTTTTTCGCTCTATTCTCCCCTATTGCTTCCCCTCAAAAATCTCCAGTGCCCTCTCCTCTTTCAACTCCCCTTTTTATCGTCCCTTTTCACCTCTTTACCCGGTAAATTCACCTCTCTTTCTCTCTCTCTCTCTCCGCCGAAACTTTCTCCTGCTCGGCGCGGCGCTTGTATTTTACTTTTCTAGTAGCGAATTAAAACCGCGTTCATGCGCAGCCCGTGGAACGGGCGTAATGATTTTTTGAGGGGGCGAATCGAGTGGGGTCACGATGGCAGAACGACGAGAAGCGAGAGAAAAATAAAAGGGGAAGACCAGGAGGAGAGAGAAAAGGGACAGAGTCGGATGTGAAAGAAGTAGAGGGAAATGGTGGTTTGATGGATAACAAATAGTCCGAGAATTTAATGTTAAAAATCATGGCGACAGTGAAGAAAGTACGGGCTAATTTTAATTGCAATGGTACTTTTTGTGCGGCTCGGGGCTATTCACAAAATTTGAAAACTCTATTTTTAATTGGAGCGTCGTTAGAGCTTTGCGCATTTTCATCTCTCTTTTTTATTCTTCTTATTTTTTTTTTCCTTTTTGCACGGTGTGGATTACGGGTGGGGCAAAACGCGAGATGCTACATTTCTATCCCCACCAGGAGTGTCTCTTGCGGCCGCACTTCCCTCGGAGATACGTATCCCCTTCTGCGTCTTGCCCCATCGGCCCCTTCTCTACTTCTACAATTTATACTTTCTTCGTTGATTTTTTCTTTTCTTCACTCTTACGCCCGTTCTCACTCTGCGTACGCACTATTTTTTAGTCCAAACTTATTACGACAGATGTCTCATGTGCCGATGAAGAAATAACGCACGGTGGACCCCAGTGTTAGTACAAAAACGTCGGGCTACTCAGCACAGGGCAGAATCACTTGCACCCGGAGAATCTCACTCCAGCATTCGGTATATCGTCACGCTCGAGATTATTTTTCTCCTCTTTCACCTACATCAACGTATACTTTTTTCCCTCCCATTGGTTCCTCCGGTTCATCCATTTCTTTCCATCCCACCGGGTAGGCCCTGCTGAGAAAGAGAGCCTCCAGTTTGCCCTGGCACACGGTGCGAATCTAGTTCTAGTCGTTGAGCGTTCGCCAAACGAGTCACTAGAATTCCTTCTCCCCATCGTCACGGAATTTTTAATATAAAAAAAAAATAATTAAACCGCCACATTGGCAGTCCCCCGATGGTGAGGTTGAAGCACGTGAATCAGTCAGGTGTTGGGCAGGGGTAAAAAACGTCAAACGTTTCAATGAAAGATCGAAAGGAGAAAGATAGAGAGTATCCTACCGTATTCGTTACCTCGACGGCGCGCAGTAGCACCAATCCAGCACAAACCCCGTTGTTTTCATCCTCTCCTTCGTCGGGAATCTCGTGGCACTCGACGTCGGTGCCTCGTCCTGTCGCCAGTGACGTCGACACGCAACCGACGGCATTGCACCGACCGCGTGGCTCTTACACGCGTCAACCAGTGAGTTTATCCATTTCTTCTCTCCCGATCCTCGTTGAAGTTCACATTCCATCATTACAAAAATTCGTATTGTATTTCACTGTGCGTTTATATTGTCACTTTTGAAATCACGAAGTGCGTGGACAAATGTTTAGGCATTTCGTGCTCGAGTGTCTTCCCACAAATAATTTCAAATAAAGAGAGCTTTTAACTCAACCAAATTATGATTTTTATTCAACATCACCCATTTCCAATAGCAAAATTCACGCGATATGTATCTCTCACCCACACACACACAATACACATACATAAATCACGCGTAAAAACGCGCAAACACACCCCTCCGGCCATTCCCTCGCTCAATCATTTTTGTTTGACTTATTCGTTTTATCTTTTTTTGAAAAGTTGTCTCGGTCTCTTTCGCCGGTGATTTTCTATCTTTCGGGTGTTGGGGCGGTACGTCGAGCGATTTCGTACATTTTCGTGTGGTTCCGGGGGATCAACCGACGAGAGAGAAAGATGGGCCACATGTACACACACCACTGTGATGAGGGAAAAAAGAGAGGGGAGGGAATAAACCGGCAGTTTGGGCCGTGACGTTTTACGGGGGTTAGTTCCTCCGGCGTGACGGGTGAGGCATGGGTGGTCGAGCAAGTAGGATAACACAGACTCCTTTTGCTTTGGCACGCATACAACACGTTGACTAATGAAATGCCAATACGCGGCATTCAAATCTATTTTCTATTCAATGAGTTTATTTATTCATTAATCAAGGTAGAGGTGTTTGGCTTTTAATGTACGCGAGCGGATCATCTTGTGTTGATTCTTGTGCTTGACATTGTCACGTTTGTGTGGATCACGCGGATCAATTTGGTGTGTGCCATTGGCATGTAGTCTAGCCGGTACACGCGGACAAAGTTTAATGAACTATTGTACTATCGTGTATTTATTCATGTGCTAGAGGCTATTGATGACGCCCCTGTGAATACTTCATTCAACCTGTCATTATTGAAATTTCAACGCTCTATTTTTCATCGTATGTTTTTCTTTCTTTGTGGCTCGATAAGATTAGACTTTTGTCACCGGAGAATTTTGTGCGCGATCGGTTGTAATGTCAGATTTTTTTTTTCTCATGGTTCAGGTGAATTTTCATTGATAAAGGGAGACTAACAGTTCTGTTGTCAGTTTTTTTTTTTTTTTTTTTTTTTCTTTCGATGAGAGACTCTGCTCGGCAGATTGGATGTGATGAGTGATTGATCCCGGACATTTTCGAGGATTCATTTGGTTATTGAGGTCGGTCGATCAACACGTGTCAATTGACATTCGTATTGGAGTGCAGTGAAAGTGCCTTCTTAGATTATTTATGTGCTAATGCCAATGTGCATGAGGTATTTCAAGATGATTTTTCAGTAGGTTAAGATTTAGTGTAAGTTTAGGTTTTTATTTGAAATGATTTTTGCGGATTGTTTTGGGGTTTTGGGGTTAAGGGGAATGAAGGGTTCGATTGTTTCTCAGATTCGCGTTACACATTGGTATCTGGGAATGGTCGTAAATTTAGAGGTCAGACGTTAGGATAAAACTTGGGTATAAACACCAGAGATTCATTCTCAGAATGGCAATTCAATCCTGTCCGCCACTATTTCGCAGAATATTTTTCTCTCATTATGGTACCCCTTCTACTCGTTAGATCATAATTTCGCAATTATCGGCACTTATTTTTTTCAATGTATGAATTCATTCCGCCAAATTTTATTTGTGTGAAACCCTGATAGTATGTGTACGCAATATCTCTGATAACGAAATTTATCGTCATCAATTTATAAGTAGTAATGGACGAAATGAAAGCTGAGGTGTCATCAGCGTACACATGGAGGGGGACATGTGCTACAGAAATTAGAAATGAGGAATTGGCAAAAAAATATGGAGAGAGAGAGAGAGGGAGAGATGAGGCTAACGAGCCGGGTGAATTTGTTTCCAGATTTTTTTTTATCATTTTCGCCGGAGATAGTAGTTATCAGTAGACATTTTGTACTTGCAGTTCTATAAGTAACCGGCCATTTAATCGTATTTTCTGGCTCGGCGCCAGAATGACGACCTAATTTTTTCACTCGTTTCACTTTTTTTTTTTCTCTCCACACCGAAAAAGAAGTAATAGTTTCTTTTTCAAGTAAAAGAATGCGTGTTGAATTTTTTGGCATTGGCCACCCATGAAAAAATTCCAGCCGTGAATTGCAAATTTTTATAGTCCTCAGTGTAAATCACTTTGTTTTATTGATGCTGGGGGGAGATAAAAACGAGTAGTTGGAAATTTTTATTTACACAGTTGAGTGAAGAATTTTTCTTTTATTACAGGTGAATAGACATAACGATGGTAGATACGCAACATTTTTGTCTGCGATGGAACAATTACCAGAGCAGTATAACGTCTGCATTCGAAAATCTACGTGACGATGAAGACTTTGTGGACGTTACACTTGCCTGTGATGGCAAGAGTCTCAAAGCACATCGTGTTGTACTCTCTGCCTGCAGTCCATACTTCCGTGAGTTGCTCAAGGTATGTTTGTATCATCATATCAAAAATGCCAATCCAATTTCGCAACTCTCCCACACTTGCCTTCGCCCACGTACATCACAAAAAAATTTACCACTTAAAATTTACAAATTCAAACTAATAAATTCTCCTGAACTGCGCAAATGCTCGCGTCTGTTAGGAATGTGTTTGAATATCTAATTTATTACGAGTATGAATTACCCAGCGCTTAAATTCCATAAAATATCGTTTTATTTACTCTTTCATTGTTTGAAGAAATGTTTCTTATCTGTGAGCAATTCAAGTTCCAAAAGTACATTGAAATCGGGATTTTTTTTCAGTGGCTGTATGAGAAATTGAATTTAAACTCGAATCATTGAAAATCCGCGAAATTTATACCAATGAATTTCTCAAGGGCGAATTTTGCATGTTTTTTTATTATAGAGCACACCGTGCAAACATCCGGTGATAGTACTTCAGGATGTTGCATTCAGTGATTTGCATGCCTTGGTGGAGTTTATTTACCACGGGGAAGTTAACGTCCATCAGAGATCACTCAGCAGCTTCCTGAAGACGGCGGAGGTCCTGAGGGTGTCTGGTCTCACACAGCAGGCTGACGCCACCGAGAGGGACGAGGTAAGATTGAGAAATAATCATCACTGCATCCCCCACTGTGATCCTCCAGTCCAGCGACAAGATCAAAAAGACGTCAGAGAGTAAATTCTCAGCCAATTAAAAGAAACCATAAATCTCTCGGACGCTTTTTTTTTTTTTTGGAAAACGATCCGGTGCCCAATTAAAGTCGATAAAGCCTAGACCAATCACGAATACTGTACCAACAGAAATGGCAATGATAAAAAGCTATTTCTTATCACTTGAGTAAATAAAAATCCCCTGAATTATTACCTCGTTATCTTGATTGGGAGATTGTCATAGGTCAAGCAAACAAAAGATTCCTTGTCTGTCGAAGAGAAGAAATTGAGGGGTTTTCTGCCAAAAAAAAACAAACAAATGGGGAACAGCTCTTTAATTACATATTACAGTCATTTATTTCTAATAAATTCGCAATTGACTAATGGCCAATTGAAATCCCTTAAATCAATAAGTCATGGAAAAATCCCACGTTCTCAAACGATCTGTTAATTTCGTACAGCTATCGCAGGTGCGGGCGTTAGCTGCACGTACAAATCACGTATCGCCCCATGAAAAGTTGTCAGACGAGGGTTTTCCACGTGGTGGTTCACCACCAACACCGGCAACACCAACTCCAACGACAGTACAACAATTATTACGTCGTGCACAAATACGTAGAAATGAAAGGCGTTCACCAGATTTGCACGATGAGAGTATAAAGAGATCGCGTTTACCATCGCCACCCTTGAATAATAATGATGCAACACCCACGGATTTTTCGATGGTGAAGAATCATTTTTCGTCGAAGGTCGAGGGTAATGGTCTGCCGGATGAGAATAGTCGGATTGAGGAGAATATTAAGTGTGAACCGTTGGAATTGACTGGGGGTAATGGTGGAACTGGTGGACACAATGAGGACTCATCGGACTCTGGTGCAGCGGCTTCTGATAGGCCACCAGCATCAGCGAGTAGTAATGAACACGAGCATGAACCTCCGGAGCATCCGTCTACACCCAATTTTTTACCCGAGAGCAAGTTGTTCACTTCTACGCCGGGAAGCTTTAATTTCAGTATGGCAGCACTAACTACAGATCACAGTCCATTATCAGGTGAATATTTATTTTCTTTTTGATTTTCCGGACACCGGCCTCTACGCACAGACCAATTCTGATAATTTTTTTTTTCATTCATTTTCATCCAGCCAGAAAAAAATTTACATACATTGCACATGAATTATTATTTTGAATGTTAGCTTTTTTTTTTATTTGGAAACCCATTTTATATTTTGACAACATCCGTATGATTTTATTTATCATTGTTTGAGTTATTACACCCATGTTATTTTAATTGTGTAATTGCGTACAGGCCGAAATATTTAATTATTAATGAAGGACTATTTGACACTACGTTTGACAACAGTGAAATTTCCAGGGTTACCCCATGGACTTCAGACGCCGGATTTAGCAGGGACATCACAAGGTAAGATAAACGAAAACCAATAACCACCTCTTTGTTGACCATTTTTGTTAATTTTACATGCCCGATGAAATCACAAGAATAATTTATGAATCAGTGAGATGTTAAAAAATTTTCACAACTTTTCCTTCTCGTCGTTACGTGCGGCACATCGAGGTTACAACGCTCGTATTAATTTTATTGTCAATTCAAAGTCAGTGTCATTCTTTTGATTTTTCCAAGGGCACTCCTCGCTACACTATATTACTTTTGTTTACTCTCTTGTTTTTAATTGATAAAAAAAAAGAATAAAATATGACCAATGCATTGAGAATATTAAAAACAAAAAGGCAGATAGAACTTGCCTTGAATGTACTGGTTTCGGTCTAATTTGGTCAACTATTGACTTGTGCAGTTATATCAAACTAACAAACAAAATTCAATTGTAAAATCACGCAAAATGAATTCTGACAAAATTTATCAGATATTCAAAATTATTTAATTGGTTGCGGTGAAAGAGCACTACTGTCTCTGCTTTGGAAAATTAAAATTATCAAAATTCTCTCCTAATTGGCATGCGTTTCCAAATCATCGAAAATCATTCATTCTATTCACATTTTTTTTTTTCAAAATCATCAAATTCACATCATTCGCATTTCACAAAACAAAAATTCATGGCAAAAATTAAATGCGTTTTTACGGAACATAAAGAACGAATAATGCCGACTTGGTGGTTACGTGACTAAAAAATTATTCGTCGAAGCATCAGAATCCAATGGAAATATAATTTGCCGTTGATTTCGACGGGCTTGATAACGAAATTGGAAATTCAAATACACCACATCGTGAATACTAATAATGGAATTGCCGCTGGGAGGTGATTAATTTCACCAAAGTTTTTGTGCTTGAATATCCCAGAGTTTGAGGAGACGTAATCCCCAGTAAATTGCGCTCCTCAATTCTCAAACAATGACCTAAAAAAAAAAACCAGGCAAGGAAAAATTACTGGAGACTTATCTAGGAGTTATCAAAATTATGAAACGACAGATTGCGAATCGTCATTGAACCACCAAGTTAGCGTTATCATCGGGTAATTGGCGATGAAACGGAACAGAAAAAAAAAATAATAAATTCATGAAAATCCGTGAGTTTGGCATCACTGTACAATTTAGACCGTGACGAAAGCGTCACCCTCGACGACGTTAGACGAGCATTCGCATTGAACTTTAGATTTTTTGTATGAATGCGGAAAGAAAGAAAAAGCGCTTCAAAAGACATTGGCAAAGGTGACGTCGTAGCGGCGGTAGCATAGGAACCTAAATTACTTTCTTCATTTTATCCTCAAAGAAAACACTCGTATCACTGAGATGTCGACGATATCCGCTGAGCTGTGAATCTCGACGGTTTCTCATTAATTTTTTTTTTACCCTCCATTTATTGATTACGATCGACAACATCGAGCAATCATTGAAATTCGTGTCGTGCTCGTACTGTTACTTTCCTACGCATATCAGCGTATTACCTCAAAAAAAAATGATTAATCTCATTTCCATATGCAAATTGACATCGAGTAGTCAATGAAACATGAAGATACAATATGTGTGAAACGTTGGGTATTTATGGCTTGACTAAGTTATGAAATATATTTTTTAAGTATAACATTGAAACCGTTAAATCAGCGGAGTTTCATATTTTATGATTTTTCCTCCGTAAAATGGCAAGAGTGTGTGATAGATATTCAATTATCATTTTATTTTTATCCCAACGTATTGTCACTTGACCCGTATAATGAATGTATTGTACATAAGTATATTATCACAAAACGCGTTATACTCTGACAACCCGGGTTTTACTGCCCTACCGGAAACACCAATTTCATATTTTGACGTTACACTATGTGGTCATGGTATACCCCGTGTTATCAGCGCGCTTGAATATCAAAAAAACATCAAAGGACAGAATCAGGGGGAAAAAACAGAGGAGAGAAAGAATCACACATTTGAAAACATCAAACATCAATAAAATCAACAGAAAAATCATGTATTCCGTTTGAAGGTGGGGAAGAGAGAGTGAATTCTGTGAGTGTCCTTCCAGAATAATCACACCTATAACCTCCATCACAAAATGGGTGGAAATAAACATAAATATAAAATGGCGGTAGGCAAATCGTCGAGACAGTGTGTAAATTCAGGTGCGTCTGGGCCGTTTTGAATTAATATTTGAACGACTGGCTTATGCTAGGTTAGTACTGGAAAAAAAAAAAAGTTATCAGGGGGCGGGAGATAAGAGAGCAGATGTTATCCAAAATATTCAAGGTCCATTCTCCTATCAAACTCAAACCACCGAAATTTACTGCTCAACAGCTCAAACTCTCTTAATTATCCCCAATTATTTTATTTCGTTAATTCTGTGCCGAAAAAGAGCGTCAGGAGGGGAGTGGGCGGGAGGGGGTGGTGGGTCAAAGAGAGTAGCTTCAGAAAAACTAAAAATATCGCATCGTGGCCTTGGATATAACACGCCAGTCACGTTCTTGCATCGTACGGTGAATTATTAGAAACATTAAACTGCGAGTCCCGACGCTCTCGTCCTACGCGCTTCATCTGAAAGAACACAACTTATTTTTTTTTCCCTTTTTTTAACTTGAATTCCTCACTATTTCTTACCGAAAATAGCGAAGATATTCTCGCTAACTACAATCTCCCATTTTTCGTCATGGGAGGATATAAAATATGGACACTTTGGCTTGACAGATGTAAGAGGAGTAAATCTTTATCGGTTCTTACTGCTTTGGCAGAGTTTCAATGGTGAAACACGCGATATTACAAGGGTCGTTGTTCTCCCTAACTGCTTCTGTCAGAATGAATCTTGAAAAATTGATGTAACGGGGATAAATTGGCGTCGACGATTGGTTAAATCTTTTTTTTTCGGCCGGAATTTTAATTGCTGTTTTATTCGAGGGGTTTTTATTTGTGAGGGTTGGGGGGGTAGTGCTCCCCCAGCTTTGTAGCATATGGAATTTGCCGAAACCATTCCAACTTGCGCAAAAATAGAGCTTGCTTCGTGTGATCCACTTGGCCGACGTTATCTGACAGAAATTAATGTACGTCTTTTTATCATTTCCCTCTCTTTCTGTTTCCCCCCCAATTTCTCCGCATTTCTTTTTGACTATTCAATTTATTCATTATTTTTTCACTTCCCCTTCAATCTTCGATACAGGAACATCTCATTCTTTTTTTTTTTTAATCGAGTTTTATTACCAGCGCGTAATGCGGTTACGCAAAAAACAATAAAGATACACATTGAGATGTGTGCTAAACGAGAAAAAAAGGGGAGAAATTATATGTGCGGGTTTAAAAGTATGTATGAGTGCTCTCGTTACGAACTGTCGGACCGGATACATTTTTCTTTGTTCCCTGGGTTAAGCTTCATAACTTCGCGCACAAACTTCTTTTTTTTTCTTCTCTTTTATTCTTTTTTTTTTTCAACAAACGCACATGGGCAATGTGTCCCTGATGCTGGGTAGAAAAATTGGCGATTTTGCCACAGTTTGCACGATGACGCATCGATGAATCCATTTCACGGCTTATGGATGTGTAGTCGATAGCAGGAAAAAAAAAAGCGAGAGGACAGGAGCAAAAGAGGGTGAGAGAATTGCACAATCCCAGTGAAATTGATAGAATATTTTTTTTCACGCAATGATATTATCGCTTTCACGTACAGGTTCTTTCACTCTTTTTCAGCGCGTTAATAGTCGAGATTAAAAGCGCGTCAAGTGGTTTATTGCGGTGAAAAAAATAAAATGAAGTTTGATACCGTAAAAAAATATTTGCCAGCACTTTTTATTTATTCGAACAATTCTCTTATCGCGGAGAAATTTTTTAGACTCGCCGAACTCATTTTTTTTTCCCAGTCGTTTTTTTTTTTGCAACACTCTTGGCTAGGAGCGAAAAATGTTGAGAAAAATGTCTCAACGCGTGTTTGTTATATTCTTGGCGGTTTTTTTTTTACACCGGAGATTTAAAGAGAGATTGTTTTTAAAAGCTTCAACTAGTCGCTCATTTCTCTTCCCATTTTTTCGCTCCGCGTATTCTCCAGTGCGGAGGAAAATTTTCTGGAAAAATTCTAATACTAGAATTTTTTCCTTGCCGTCACATTGCGCGCCTTTTCTACTGCCACGCTACAATTTTTCCAGACCATTTCTCTCTGAGGAGTTAACCTGTTGTTAATATTCGCAGTTGCTCCGTACAAAAATACATTTCTCTTGTATTTTGCATTGCCGTCTAATGCATTCCGAGAAGTAGGCCACATCTTCATGGACTACCAGATGACGAGAAAAAAATCTTCCATTTTTTGTCACGTGGAGGAAAATTAGAATAACAAAGTAGTGGACGGATAAATAATTTCCTACGCGTTGTTAAAAAATTTCTCATTTTTCATTTGAAATTTGAAATTTCAGAAATTCCATATGTCTCGTTCAATTTTTTTTCACTCTTATTTTTTAATGGTTACACTGCAAATCTCCAATCGTCGAGATCGCAGAATTGCCCGACTTTTTATTCGGTATTTACCGGGCCGATGACGTTGAATTTGCGAACGCGCGGCCTCTGTCAAGACAGTGGAGATATTCCCCAAGGTCAAGTTGTTTTAGCCACACTAAATGATTGCATTGATTACGAAAGAAAATATTGTTCGTGTCTTATGAAGCCATTGTCTTCACTTTTTTTCCTGTATTTTTTTTGCTCGGATTTTCTCCGATATTTTTCACATCGTTTACGAATTCCTGCCCCTTTGTTATCATCATTTTAAAGCAGAAACATTTGTTAACCAACTTTGCAAAAATTATATTACATGCTGATCATATACAATCTTTCCTGACCTCGGAGAACCGAAAATTCGGTTGTCATATTTCGACAGTGATCGATGTGCCTCGTGATCTTGGTTTTTTTCCATTGCTAAAAAAGTCTCTCGCAATTACCAGATTGTCATCTATATGTCTTTTTCTACATTATGAATGCAAAATTTGA